ACTGAGGAACTGTTTCCAAACTAAACAGCTCGTTACTTATTCCTACTTTAAAAAGTATTGGAGAGCAAGCATTATGAAAACAAGCAGTCTACTGAAATATGAATGTGAATTAAAAAGTCCAGTTTCAATGCTTTATTTGGAGTACATTTAACACTGTCATGTCTGTGGCTTAGTGATGTAGTGTCCCTGATTCTCTGACACATCAAGGGGTGGGTTTTTTTGAATGACCTACTACTTTTTGTATTGATTTGGCTTTTTAATGTAAATATAGTTCTGAGTGCTGATGTATTGACATGGGTATGCTCACTTTTTGTGAAAAAAATAGGAGGAGAATATAAGTAAAATTTTTTTTCTGAATTGCAGAAGGCGCCCTTCAACAATTTAATTATTAAATGTAATTAAGGAAAGTGAAATTTCACATGAAAAACTTCAAAATATGTATAAAAAAAGATTCACCTTTGTAAAGAAACTCACTGCTAGCAGAGATCACCAAAACCACACCTGTTCTCCACTCAATAGTTTTGTATGAGTAGAAGAACCTAATGTGGCTGCAGGCTAGAATTTGAAAGCAAGGTTTAAAAGGAAGAAGTGTTGTCTTTAACATGAATGGTATTTCCTGTGGTGTATGTTTGGATTGCTAAAGTTCATTTCCTAGACTGAATTAGTTGTGGAGTCCACTAGACTGGAGATTATTTTTGCTTGAGATTCATAATTCATCCACTAATCTCCTTCAATTATTCTATTGCATGTTTATAGATTCCTGATTCCCTTTTAATATCTGCTAATGGGTAATTACAGTCAGCAATCATTCTTGTCATGGAAATTGCTAAAGTAATTTCAGAAACACTGTTGTTATTTGTGTGAAACAAAAGATAGAATGGAAATCAAAGCTGTACTGTCTTCTGGTGCTTCAGTAAAAGATGAAAAAAGTGGTTCTGTTTGCTTTTATACAGAAGTTATTGAGAGGAATAAGGCAATTTATATTGATTCCTTTGGTTCTTGCTATCAAGGTTTGTTTTAATATTTCAGACACTGCTCTTTGGTAACCAGGCAGCTCTGGGTGATCAAGTCTTGAGTTCTTGGCAAATGAATAACTAAGAGAAAAAATACTTTATAAATTATCCAGGTGGTTACGGTGGCTGTGTTTGCTTGTGAATATATTGGGAGCTTTGAAACTAAGAACAGAACTGCAACATACTTGGATTCTGTTTGGAAAGGCTTTAACTTGGTCAGGAGCTGCTGTGAATAATTCTCCCAAGAGAGGGGGAATAGGATGTGATGACTGGCTGTCTGTCCATCCTGGTGTGTGAGTGAGAGGGTGGGCAGGAGGGTGCAGGTCCCCTGCCTGTGAGCGAGCTAGCACCTGGGAACTCTTGTGTTCTGCAGTTGCAGAGAGTAAAGGAAGCCTTCCCAGGAGCTGTTTTGTTATCAATCTGACTTCTGTATCAGATAGAACATCATTCTTTCTGTGTGCACTGCTGGGGTGACACTGCCCTTAGTGCCCAGAGCTCCCTGCCATGAGTGACTCTGTGTCTGCTCTCTCCATGTCTTTGGATGCTCTCCCCTTTTTCCCTCTCCCAGCTGCCCTCTCACTGCTCCACGCAGACAACTTGTGTGGAGGAAGGGGCTGAAATTACCCCATGCATCAACACTCTTGGGCTGGTGTGTGTTTCTTTAAAACACTTGGGCTCTACAGGCTCTGTACAGGCTGCAGCTATTCTGCAGCTCTTGACTCCAGGCCAGGTCTTAAGAAAATGTGGTGGATTGACACAAAGCATGGTGGACAGTTTTTAACTAGCCTGGGAGAACAAAAGAGCTTCAGTTCAAGCCTGGTAGACCTTCTTTGTGACAAAATTCTATTGATGTGTCAGTAGGAGTCTGGAGAGTTTAGCAGTGCTTGGAAATTCCCATCTATGGGGAGGAAAACATAGAGTAATACTCTGTTTTGTGGGAGATAGAAATGTCTTTTCTTGCTTGCAGGTGCAGTGGCTGTGCTTTTGTCAGGTGTTGCCCAGTACTTACCTAGAAGAGGTTCTGGTGCTGAATGTGAGCACATCCTTGTTCCCACTGGCTTGAAGCACAGTAGATTTGGAAAGTAACAGGTGTTTTTATTCATGTTCTGGAAGGTATTCTGTTGTCCAGGTGTTTTTTACACCTGTCATATGTCTGGTGTTCTTACATATTCACTAGGCAAAAATTCTTCATGTTAATTGGCTTGCAAATTATGTGGACAGTGAAGCTCACACAGGTTTGACAAAATCATATTAGTGTGTTTGGTGGCTGTTCCTGTAGGTTCTCAGTGCAGTTTCTAACCCACACTGCCAGGGTTGTTTCTCATTTACCCTGACCTGGATGATAATTCCTTCACTTTTTCATCCAAACACGATGAAAGCTTCTAAAGAAATGAGGCTTTTTCTTGATAAGCTGCTGATCAGAGCTCCGTGGCTTTATGGCAATAGCCCAGATCCTGTCCCCATTTGGCTCGGTGTGTTTTTGCCACTGGTGCTTCTGGGAGTGTTCTTTGGTTTTTGTGGCCTGTTGCTGTTTCAGGGTTACACCTCTCTTGGTGTATCATAACAACAAGTCTTCAAGAAACAATGACCAAAAAGAGCAAAAGTGATGCTGTGGAGCTCAGTGCTCACATGATCCTTAAACATAAAAACAGGAGCATGTTGAGTTGATCCTTTTTCCAGTGTTGGATACCATCCATGACAGAATCCTTTTCTCTCTCTCAAATCTACCTTCTACATTTCCAGAAGGTTGTTGGAAAAAATTCAAAGGTGGAAAGACACAAAAAGTGGGGACTTAAGAAAAGGAGGTGGTAGTGGCAGTGGGACATGGGATGCAAATTGAAATTAATTTGCAGTTGAATTATTCATCTTGAAGTAGAATTTATGTGGTGCATTATGGATTCTTGGTAAATCAATAAAGTATTGTTGGGGAGTTTCTTTACCTAGTAGAGTTTTGAGAAGAAAATTGTATGACCCAGGGGTCATTCATAATTACTTGCAGTGGATATCTATGAAGATCAGCCAGGAAGAAACAAATCAATGAAATAGCAATCTCTTTTTTATGAAAATGGGTTAGACTATTGAAAAGGCATGTCTCTTCAATTTGATGTCCTGTAAAACTCTTCAATAATATTCAGAGATAGTTCCAAGCTGACACTGCACCCATTTTTCATTTTTTGAGCATCAGATAACTGAACCACAGCCACAGACTATAATCCTGTGGAATTGTCCTTGGTACTGGGCTTTCATTGACATAGTCAGAAGTTACAGAAAACAAACTGTGAAGTAGTTCTTCCTGGATTTTAATATCAAGTAGCCCAAGAGAGGATAATTTGTTCAACATAATTGTGAATGTATTTCTGCTTAGCAATTAATAGTTATTTTTAAAAAATTGATTCTGCTAATTAGAAAAATAAAGTTCCCTCTCAAAAGACCTCTATATCATAAAAATACCATCAAAATCATATTTCTGCAAATATGTTAAAGAAGATCTTAATTGTTTTTGTTCTGAAAGACACTTTTAGACATCTCTCCTTTAAGTGTTGGTGGTTTCTTAGATTCGCACTTCTTTTCAAGAGCATTATTATACACATGAAAATGGTATGAGTACCAAAAGAATTTTTTAAAGTGAAAAATGGGAAGACTTGAATTATGGTGAAAAGCTCAGTAATAACTAGTACAGATGAGACATTAGGTATACCATTAAATATAAATGGGAAAGATTCAATTTTATTTGCTTATTATACATTTGTACATATTAATATGTTGATATATATGTCAGTTTATTCTGGGTATTACTGGATCAGAGTGATGCAATATGGTCTTTTTTTGTGATTAATCCAAGTTTGTGGTGTATTATGGGAAAGAAGCTCTAGTTTCTCATTTTGCAAAAGTGCACTTTTGTTTTTGTCCAGTCTCACTTTGATAAATCTGGTTTTGCCTGCTTGCTCATTAATAATTGGATAGTATGTTAGTGTTTGGCTCTATTTATCAGAGGCAGAATTGCTCAGTATGGTTTCTGAAAATTTTTCCTGCTTTTAATGTGAAAGCAGTCTGAATGTGTGTATGCAGCTAAGCATTTGGTTTTTGAAAGTAACTGGCTGGGATTTGGCTTTTCTGAGGGGGGAAAAAAAATTAAAGTGGGTTTTAGTGGGTTCTTTCTCCCTGGAGCAGTGGCCTTGGGCACCATGGTGACGCCAGTCAAGTGGCAAAGCAGCTGTGGTCCTGTTATCAAGTTTTAATAAAACTTATGAAATCCGGTTTTTCGTGCTTCCCTCCATCACGTCCCAGTGATGGAGCCTGTTCATTTTTATGGCTCTTGGCATTGGATGAATTATACTCGTGAACCTATTTGAAAAACACTGGTCATTGGAAATGAACAATACAGTTATTCCTTAATGTTCATTGTTAGCAGAACACACGTATTGCCTTGGAAACAGTATTACTTAGAGTGGAATGAAACACACAGAACTAGATGTTAAGTATCATTTAAAAAATAGTTTAGCGAATTTCGGCTTGGACAGCTGTATTCTTTTCTCATTTTTCTATGCCTGAATTAAAGTGTGAAATGAATAAAAGAGGATTTATTAATTTTTAAGGTGAGTATTTTGAGAAAGAGTGCCAAGTGTATTGTGATTAAAGATGATATATACACACACACAGATGCACACAACTTCCAAAGAGCTGTGAGCATTCAGTTACACAGCACGCTCACAGGAGCTGTGTCACTTGCTCAGAATGAAGACAAACCCCGTGTATTAGATTTGTGTGTGAAAGTGTTGGAGTTGGCAGAGCAAGGTGGGCAGAGCAGCCCCCGCACGACGCTCCTGGGCTCCCACCCACCAGCAGCTCGCAGCTTTTGCTCACTGGTCAGAGCATGCAGGTAGAAAGTTCAAGGAAAGTTTAAGGAATCAACTGTTCTTATTCCCTCCCACTTGGGGAACATCGTGTATGATTAACTATGAATTTACCGATCCTGTCTCTCTGCAGGATTCATCCCAGGAAGTGAGATTCAAGCTTACGGAAAGGAGTTGGAGGCTTGCAAAGTAATAATTAAAAAAACCTCATGCCAGAAACGTCTATCTGCACCAATGCAAGTTGATCTGGAGCTTCATGCTTAGGGCTGATGATGAATTGCCTGTGGTTTTAGGGGGAGGCTAATTCTTGCTTTTGATCGCATTGGAAATCTGAAGTTAATGCTCATGAGAAGTAAAACCAGAGAACGTGGGTTACTCGGTGTGCCTAAAGATCACAGAGGCAGTAGCAAAACGACAAAACTTCTCTTTGAAGCAGTGGCTTCAGCTGTGTCATTGTGTGCACTGGGAACTGAGAGAAGCAGCAGCCAGCCTGGGAGAAGATGCCAGCTAAAGGGAAATACTTCTTCAACGAGAGCGATGACTGCAGGATATCAGACCCGCTGTACGAGAAGTACCGCTACACCAGCCAGCAGCATCCGCTCCTGCTGCTGCTGCTCTTCATTGCCATCCTCTTCTGGACCACTCTAATTATCATCTTCTTTGTTACTGCTGTGAGTAAACTCCTCTTGTGTGTGTTCAGTGTTTTCAGAGATGATAAGGAGTCGCTCTGACAGCACACTAAACAGTTTTGGCTATATATTATTTTGAGCCACATGATATCAAACTTGCAGTGCTGAAGGAGATCAAGTACCTGTGCCTGTAATTCTGGATGTTTTTGAAAGGATGGGTAGAGGGGGAGACTGTTTCAGGCACGTGCACAATTACTATAAGGATTGCTTTTCCTTTCTATACATTAGGAACAAATCCTAATCTGTATGGAATGCTAGCTTTGATAGTAAGTACGAAAGGGGCCAAGGAAGGAACAAGAACATAAGTTAAAATGTCCTGCATTTCTCATATTTTTTTTTAGCGTAATCTAAGAAATATAAAATATTATGGTGACTTGTTTTTTTAATCAGGTTATTCCTGACGTGATTTTTTCTTAAAAGATTTGTAAATGTTAGTTTCCTTTCTTTTCTCCCTCTTTTTTCTTAATAAAAACACAACAGGAACCTCCCAGTACAATGGATGATCAGTGGAATCAATATTTATTTAGCCAAGAGCAGTGATCCTATAGGCATAGAAAAGATGTGGCTTAAAGATCTCTTTGTTATGTAGTGTAATTTGATTTTCTGTAAAGAAATTTGATGTTATACAAGCCCAGCTGACAGCAGGTAAAAGGAGGAGTTGATTTAAAGATAATGTTGTAAAAAGGTAGTAAAGTAGCAGTTACAATCCTTCATTGCCTTCTAACACTGCTTTCCCAACACGGTACTTCATGATAAAGGCTCTTCAAGTCTCTGTTAGCAGCAAATCAGATCTTACCAATTGCACTTGTATTCCTTTTACCTTTTATTTCTTAGGAAGGGAAAAAAGCAGCAACACTATTTTGAACAATTTATCTTCTGTAAAATTTAGAGCACTGCTACACTGCTTTTTAGCAAAGTTTGAACTCCAAATACATTTCTTTGGGCACATGTGCATTGTAGATACAATATAGTTAGAACTTAGTTGTTTGGGGTTTGCCTTGTGAGCTAGTTTGGAAAATAACAATGATGGAACTGGGGTAGAATAAGTATCTATAATAGTATTTATTTTATTATGTATGAATTTCAGAAAGTGTTCATGCTGCCACAGCTAGTCTACGTAAAAACCCAGCTTAACTTATTTCAAAGGTAGCCAAGCTGTTTGCAGGGCAGCATAGATGTATTTTTCATTTTTCTAAAGGGGGCATTTGGACCAGCTGAAATCCTATGTTTTGCTTTTGCAGGAAGCACATTCCCACCTTGCCTTCATCATTGCCGTGTGTGCTGCCCTGGCCGTGTTTGCAGTCATGTACTTGCTGCTGTGCATGGAGTCCCTGTTCCGGAGGTGGCTGTCCTTGTTTGGAGTGATGATTTGGATCTGCTTCCTCACTGTGGGATATGTGTCCCTTTTTGAAAAAGGAAGTGGTCATCAGCTGTGGGAACAGGTGTGTGTGTTGTGTTACACAGGGGTGGTGGTCAGTGGTGGATGTGTTTGTGTGAATGAGTTTGTGTGCTTTAGTCCTTCAGAATGTTATAACTGCATAACAACTCTTCGGAGATTTAGGTTAACTTTTAAAATTGGCTTTACTGATTTATTGCAGTAAATTTTAGTTGGTACTCTATATTATAGTGAAAATACATTTCAGTGGAAAAATTGGATAAATTCATCAGCCTATGTGGGACTTGCATCTTTAAGTTGTAATTGGACTGGATCTTTATTTAGGATTGTTATGAAATCTTAATTGCTGTGAATTCATCTCTGAGTGATTTTTTTTTTTTGTTGTTGTTAATAATACTTGCTTTGTTAATTTATTTGGGTCAAAGAGGTGCTCAAGAAATGTATAAAGGACTCCAGAGCTGGGTGTGCCCTAGGGAGCAGGTTTTTAAGTCAGTGGGAGAGGTGAAGTGAACAATAAGGATTAATGACACATCCTGGCATTGCTGGGTGTGGCTAAACTTCATTGCTTGCTATCTCTGATCAGAAGATGGGTGATTTCATGAAGTCAAAAATATCATAATTTGTAGGAAACTCCTCCTAAGATCTCATAATGCAAGCAGAAGAGTTTTAATTAAATAAAAATTATTTTTTATCTTGTTTTACAGACTCTGCCCCTTCCCTTCTCTATTTGAATAAAGAAAGATATAAATTATCAGTTAAACAATCACCATCTGATTTGCATTATGGCCTGGATCCAGAACTGTACATTTAGAGTAGCTGTTCATTATTTTTTAACTTAAGAAAGTGCCTATTACCTTGGAAACCTCCCCAAATGTATTGTTCTTAACTATGAATGCAAATATGTAACAAAGCAAGATTTGGTTTTGCTGCTTTCAGTGCTGCAAGCCAACGTGTTGACATCATGTGGTAATAAGTCATTCATATTGATTTTAAGTCTAAAATATAAGGACGCCCTAATCTGAAAAGTGAATAGATTTATTTCAGACTTTCACCTCAAGTTATCACTAATTAAAGCTACTGTTTAAATGCAGGCATGGCCTTTGCTTGTCCATCCTTTGCTTGTGCTTATAAAACTATCACCCAGCATTCATACAGCTGAAAAAATGTTTTTACTCCAGCTAAAATAGTGAGATATACATGGAAAAATATTTTCGTTGAATGAAAACTTTTATTTGCCTGTTTGTCTGATTATTGTTGTCCCAGTCAAACTATCTGTTCTGGGAAAATATTTAAGGGCAGACTGGACCTTGAGACTCCCTCGAAGGAAGGCTTGTCTTGTCTGGAATGGCACAAGTTCAGTTGCTGTGATGAGATGGAGCTGAGCTGGGAATGCTGCAATATATTCCTCTGATCACAGTTGTTAGTTTCTGTATGTATATAAACTAGCAATTGTAGCAAGTAAGTTTTACAGACCTTCCCACTGGTCTGGAGAAGTTTAGTTCTGCATTTTATAAAATCTGTGCAGCTAGATACATGTTTAGTGGTAATAAAGGTTATTCTCTTGTGGGAGGACCAGGAAGTATTGCTTGGATTTTTGGTTTTTATCAAACACGAAGCAAACATACACATGTGACTGGGTGATGTTAAAATTAGAAAAATATCTTCCAGCAGGTGAGAAATTTGATTCTATTCAGCATTGCAAGCCTTGCAACACACTGTTCCTGATGTGTGAGTACAAAGTGAATCCAAAGTGCATCTCCAGTTATAAAGGTATAAGTTCAGGATAAAGGGCAAGGACAAGTGAAAAAAATTATAGGTGATATGTCATGTTAACCCATCTTGTCTATGAACCTATAGCTGGTAATCCCTCAAAACTCTTAGAAATACCAATGTTCTTATGTTTTGAAACATCAATATCTAATTGTTCAGCCTGAAATTGAGCAAGAATCCTACTACTTTGCTCTAGTTTCTGTAGTGATTTTTGGGATGCACCTAATAACATATATGCATGATTCTTTTCTATTTTTTCTTTTTCTTTCCAAAGGTGCCATTCTTTCTGTTCATAATCTTCACAGTTTATACCATGCTACCCTTTGGGATGAGAGATGCTGTCATAATTAGTGTTGTTTCTGCTCTCTCCCATATTGTTGTTCTAACCGTGGTAAGTGTGACTTCTCAAGAAAATAAGGAATCCATTGCATTTCAGGTAAGGAAATTACTTGGTTACATAATGAAATACCCTAGTCGAGTTACCCTTTGCTTTTGGTGTAACTATTCTATTACAAAAAGTTCCAGACTTCCACATTGATGTTTCAAGTTTGTGGATTTGGAGCTTGGGCCCAAAAATCCATGGGCTTTTTGTAAAATGGCAGATTTTTGAATCTATACTGCATTTTGTTTTTCTGACCTAAGTGGAAGAAGCAGAGTTGTTATATCAATTTTTAAGTTGTTAAAAATATACCTAGCTTAATCAGAGTCACTCTTCCCAATCTGTGCTCTTTCGGGTGGGTCTCCCTACCTTCACCAGGCACTGCCCAGAGGGTGGATCAAAAGGGCCATGCTGCCCCGGGCTGTCAGCAGGACCTGGCAGTGCTGGTTCAGGGCTCCCAGCTCTCATTAGCAGGGTGTGTTCCAAGCAGCAGCCCAGCTCATTCCGTGCAGGCATGTGCCAGACTCCACACGGCGTGCTGATGCAGGAGTTTGTGCACTGCTTTGCCAGAAACCAAACGCTGGTGCCTGCAAATAAATGGTAAATGATATCATAGGATTTTTTGTTTCATTATTCTGCCTGTGACTGAAAGTTAGATAATATCTGCCAGGTCCGTCCTGGGTAATAGCAACAGTGATTTGTTATGGGATGGGGTAAGAGGAAATGAGGTATGGTCTGGGATTGGTTGTTTTTTATGGGATTAATAAGTGTGTTAGTGAAATATCAATGACTGCCCTGCAGTAGGTAAATATTTTTCTTCTTGTGCAGCTCCTTGCCAATGCTGTCATTTTCCTTTGTGGCAACTTCATGGGTGCATTTCACAAACGCCAAATGCAGGTTGCTTCGTGGGATTTGTACAGATACACCTTAAAGTGCATCCAGGTCCGAATGAAACTGAAGATTGAGAAAAGGCAACAAGTGAGTGAGCTAGTTCATATTATGAATTTCTTGTTTCCATTTCCAAAGTCTGTATAAATTCATAAGGTTGGTGACTAATCCATGTTGAAAAGCTTGGTCCAATCTTTGAGATACCCACCTAGTGTCAAAAATAAAAGTCGTGCCATTTGTAACAAAAGAAGGAAGTTAAAGGGAGGAAGCTCTTTTCTGGGGCTTGTCTATGTGAAAATTACAGTATTTGTAATGGGAATGTAATTGCCAGTCATTTTAGTTCCTTTTTTCTGAGAATAAACTGTTCCTGGGACTGGCCTAATGTAACTTAAGAGGACATACCCTTAATGCCCTGAAATTACTTGTAAGGTAATTTTAACAGTTAGTTTTATGCTTCCCTTGGTCACGTTTTTTTTCATTGAATTCTAAGGTACTATTTGTTCTTATATTTTATTGTCTCACAAACTGTTTTTCTTTTGCTAGAAGGAGAAAATTGGATGTGAAGGGAGAAAAAAATATATAATAGATTAAAACATTTATTTCCATAAACTCCTGTGGTATTCAAAGAATAATCAAGGAACGTGAATTTCTTACTGAGGAAGGATTGTAGAGAGATACCGAAGCTGAAACTGGTCACTGTTCCTGGTATAAATAGGGTTAAAAAGAGCTCTACAAGGCTGATGCCCACCGGTTATTAGATAAAAAGAAGGGGCTGAAAAGTGACCGAGCTGATCAAACTGGAAAGAAGAAAATGCCACACTGCTAGTGCGATCTGTTCCCTGATGCTCATCTTGTGAGATGAGAGGACAAATCTGCATGGAAGCCCCGGCAGAATGTCCCCACGCAGCCGCCAGGGAATCTTCAGATCACCTTACACAGGCAGTGTGCTCTCATTTCCTGGGAAACGTGCACCCTTCCATGGGTGTGCAGGATTTTGGTTTGGGGATTGGTTTTTCTAATGGTTGCTTTTTGAAGTGTAAATGTGCTTAAGTCTATGAGAACTTTCTTTTCATCCATGTTGCAATTTGTCAGGCAATTCTGAGTATCCTTTCTGCCACCCACTTCTTCTCTGTGAAAAAGATGTGAGACCTGCAGTTCAGGGTTCCTCACTATGTGATGTGCCAGCCTCCCAATGGCCAGGTTATATTCCCTGAGATTCTGCTGTCGATTTAAGTTCTTTCAGGGTTGACTCTCCTAGTACCAAAAGTTGAGGGAAAGGAGGTGTTTCTATTTCTGGGGCCAGTCGCTAGCTCAACTGCTGACTAAGCCTTGTGTAGATGAGTCCTTGATGCTCAAAGAGTGTCTTGTCCCACTGTGATCCCAGGGGATTTCTTCTTGGAGGCAAGCACTGGTTAAATGACGCTGGCAGCTCGCTGCTGCCTGCACATGGCTGCATTGGGTATTCGGGAAAATAGGACAAGGACTTGGTCCCAGGGAACAGCATTTTAGAATTTTACTTGGCTGCACAACGTGTTAGTCTTGCTGTTGATGCTGTCTGAAAAAGTTCCTGCTCTGTAGCTGCTCCGCACAACATTTCCTCTTCCATCTCTGCGGTGGGAGAGCCCCTCCTCGCTCAAAGTATTCTCTTTTTGCCATCCTCTTCTGCCCAGAGTCGTCTTTGAAGAACGGGCTTTTGAGTGAGAGCCAGTGTAAAACTATGCCCTGAATAGTCAAACAATGAAAGTGGGTTTGGAGGAGTCTTTTTCCTTCAGTTCAAAAGACTTCATTTCAGTGACATTGCTTCAGTTTAGCTGTAGCAGCGTGTAGCTGACACTTTTGTATCTGTTGCTGCTTTTCCAGCATTTGAGAATTTACAAGTATTTTTAATACTGGATAAATTGTTAGGTACGAAACATAAGCTTTTACAAAAGCTCTATCAGACAAAGCCAACATAACACTGACATTATTGGACAAAATAAAATGTAATTTATCCAGAAAATGCAGTACTGAATACTGACATTTTTTGTGTGTTTGTTTCATGGTAACAAAGGGATGTCACACCTAGGCCCCAAGGAACAAAAGGAAATACATGCAACATAATTGTGAAATCAATAATTTGGAAAAGAGCAATGTAAAAATGTCTTCTGGAAAACCTGACACACATTACTCAAAAGCTATTTGAATAAAGGCATTTTTGTTTTGGTTTTTTTAATGCCTTCTTACAGTCAGTAGAATTCTGTAGTTTCATACTTACTGTGTTAATAATCTTGCATAATTATTATTCTCTCCCCTTTTTAAGGAAAATTTGCTTTTATCCATCCTGCCTGCTCATATCTCTATGGAAATGAAGCTGGCAATCATTGAGCGACTGAAGGAAACTAATGATAACAGGCAAATGCATGACAACAACTTCCACAGCCTATATGTAAAAAGACACCAAAATGTTAGGTAAGTGGAAGCCCTAGAAATAATTGTATTAGTATAAATTTCTGATTCTTATCACATATGGTCCAGTGAAATTAAAATTTGAAGGCAGACTTTCAGGCTGAAGTGTTATGGGAAGATAATGTGTGTTGAGCTGGTGTGCTGTGTTTTAAATCAGGGGAGATACTTGAATCCTTTTTTTATACTGGAGTTGTTTCCCAAAGAGGAGAGGGGTGTTTTCTGTTAAATACATTTCAATAGTTATTGACTGTGGAATTGATCTATCTTCATATTTCACTTTTCCTGCTTTTTCCTTTTGCTCTTTTCTAGCATTCTTTATGCAGACATTGTAGGATTCACTCGCCTTGCCAGTGACTGCTCTCCTAAGGAACTTGTAGTGATGCTGAATGAACTCTTTGGAAAGTTTGATCAGATTGCAAAGGTAGGTTTACAGTTTGTGCTGTAGGATAAAGGCCTTCGGGGGAAAAAAAGTCTTTTTGCACAACAGGAGGCAGCTGGGTGGTAGTCCTGAAGTCAGGAAGGCAAGACTGCTTTTGCTTTAAAGCTAACTGGCAAAATCACATTAAAACAAAATGTGAAACAAAAATGGGAAATTTAGCAAGTTGCTGCTGTAATTCCAGCTCTTGGGTGTGAAGTTTATCTGTATCGTTGAGGAAGTTGCCTGGTGGTGATCAGTGATTGTAGCAGGTTCTGTGCACAAACTCCACTGGGGAGCTTTGCTGTGTTCAGCTCGAAGGTTTGTTTGACTCCACAAATGGAGAACTCTCAGACACACATTTGAACTCATAAATTCATAGGCATCAGGCAAAGAGTTCTTTAGCTCACTCCTGAGTAAAGCTTCCTATTACTAATGGATACTTACAAAAAAGTGTAAGAATGGGGAATAGTTTAAAATGGTTGCTATTAAGACATACTCTCAATACTGACCCTTCAGCCTGGCAGGAATTGTTACCATTTCCAGGTGCTGCTTGATGTCAGTTTTTTGCAGCTGTAATCACAAACTCAGGTTTTTATTTCTCACATTACAGCGACTGTATCACTTACATGTTTGTGTACTGTGTTTGTAAAACCCTACAGATTTGTCTGAAAAAGTTGGAAAACTCTAAAAATATTAATGTAGCAGAGGAGTGAAATTGCTATAATTAAACCCTTGTGGATATAATTAAGTTCTTTAGAATACTACTGATTAAAACCTAAGATGCTAGTAATATTTTTGACTATACAAAGACTAGCCATGTCATTTTTATCTGAATTCAGGTGCAGTTAAGTGTTAAAGTACTGACAAATAAAAGTTGTGCTATATCTATTGCAATGGTATTGTTGTAAAGCAGCTATAAAGACAGAGTAAGTTATGTCACCTTAGTTGCCAAATGGCAAAATTTCTTTTAGTGCTGAAGTTAGACATATATGGTCAGGTTTTGTAACTGTTTTGCAGATACAAAAATAGAAAAAATTCTAGATTTTGAGTGATGCGTTTTAATTTCTCACTTCTGTCTGCAAATTGCATTGCAATGTCTGGATTCAGTGAGTCAAGGTCTTTTGCAACTCTGTGGTTGAGCTGTGAGAAGAGGTTCCTGCTTTTTGTACTATTTTTGTTCTGCTACAGAGTATTCTGTCATCTTTTCCATAATGTACAAATGTTGCAAGATCCAATTTACCTAATAAAAGTTGATGGCTAAGCTGGACACTGAGCTGGATGCTGAAGTGCAGCAGCTCTAATCCAGGGCTGGGTTTCCCTGCTGATCCCTCTGAGCTTGTCACTTGTGGCACTGCTCAGAACCCACTGGGATGGATTAAGATGTGGAGAATGATGGATATTCCCTAAAGGCTTTAACTGACGAGGGAGAACAGCTCACTTTGGGCAATTGCCAAACATTTGGGCTGATTTTGGAGTTGGTTTAGGAACTGTGTTCCAACAGCAGGTAGGGTTGAACAGGTGGAGGTATTGGCTGGCCCAAATTAGGCCAACTCTGCTCGTCAGTCAAACACTACACAGCCTTGCAGAATTAGCCTTGGCTTGCTTGCAACCTTTGTAGTTAAAATTCTTCAGTAAAGTGTTAACAAAAGACAGGATCAGAGGCGTGTTCCTCTCTCCTGCCAGTCATTGGCAGCAGTATCCTCTGCTGCACCGTTAGGAAAAGATTTTTGTGCTGCCGTTTGGTATTTGTGGGTTTTTTATTAGCAATAGCAAACTGGAGTGTGTGCCAGCTTCCTCTTCAGTCATGTTTGAAATAACAAAAAAATCCCCATTTTGCATCTGCACAGCTACCAGGTTGGGCATCTGAATTTCTAAGCTTTCCAACAGTGCTGAGAGGTTTTATGACACCTCACACTGTTACTTATGAGTAAGAGAGTAACAGTATTTTAAAATAGAGGGAAAACTGCCCGTAATTCAGATGAAGATTAAAAGATAGTTGATTTCATCCTTTAGATGGTAAATTCTGTGGCAGTTTTATTTATAGTTTTTTCAATTGTACACAGTTCCAAGAAAAAGGTGAGAAACTAACAAGATGGTTTTATTTCAGAAATGCTTTAAGTGGTCATTTTTGTTCTTTCCAATGAGCAGTGGCCAGGCATTCAGGTGTGGGGAAAAAGAAATAAGCTTTGTTTCAACAAGATTGAACAAAGTCTGACTTTCTCAAACCAGAGCCTTTGGAGCTGTTAGCTTATTTGCAGTTAATTTTTTCCTGTTAAAAACGTTTGGTATAATTTTGCAGGAGAATGAATGCATGAGGATAAAAATCCTGGGAGACTGTTACTACTGTGTCTCAGGCCTGCCTGTGTCCTTACCAGTTCATGCCAGGAACTGTGTTAAAATGGGGCTTGACATGTGTGAAGCAATAAAGTAAGTATTACACAAAGGCTGTTTAAAATATAGATACCGTGCAGATATTGAATTAAGAAATTAGTTTTCTAGTCAACATTTAAAAGTGTATTTTTTAGCTGTAGCTGCATAGCTCTAATGATAAGTTTGTCTCCTCTTTGCACCAAGCGTATGATGAGACTAAACCCTAACAGAAGGAGAAGTCTCCTGCTCTAATGCCCCGGTGCTTCCCCAGGCAGGTGAGAGAAGCCACGGGCGTGGACATCAACATGAGGGTCGGGATCCACTCCGGGAACGTGCTGTGCGGGGTCATCGGCCTGAGGAAGTGGCAGTACGACGTGTGGTCACACGACGTGTCGCTGGCCAACCGCATGGAGTCCGCCGGAGTGCCGGGGTGAGCGGGGCGAGCGGGGGGCAGTGCCGGGGCGACCTTTGGGCAGTGCCGGGGCGACCTTTGGGCAGTGCCGGGGCGAGCCGGGGGGCAGTGCCGGGGCGAGCTTTGGGCAGTGCCGGGGCGAGCGGGGCTGGGCCGGGTCTGGGGGCTGGCGCTGTCAGGACACACAGCCGCACCAGGGCATGGATGGCGGAAACAGGACAGATGTGTACTCAGCTGAGCTGTAAAATGTGAGGATTTTCTGGTTACGTTTCCAGTGAGCTATAAAATTCTATTCTTAGGCAGGTGACTGCTTCTTGACGTTCCCTTCATGGGAGAAACACGTGCGTTGTGTTGACTTAGTTAATCCATGCTGTACGCAGCGATAATTCTGCATCTGTGACTTTTAGTAAAGAGCAGTTGTGCTTCTTGGGTCAACAAGGCCAAGCTGTATTTCTGCTAATGTATTGATCAGTCCCACTTGATTTATATCAGCTCTGTATTCACCACTCCTACCACTCAAGTCCCACAGGCAACTCAGAAATTAAAATGCATCCTGATGGGGAGTATTCCAGCGAGGAGAGTCTGGAGCTGTTTGTTGTGCATTTCCGTGGGCAGAACGAAGGGAAGGGAGTGGTGCTGAATGGGAGGATTGAGGCAGAGCAGGAATATAATTTGCCGTGTGATGCTCAGTGATAGAAGGATTGGGTCTCAGGTTGGTCTCTTGTAGCCTTTTTAAAATGCTTGTTGAGCAGAACAAATACCAATGTTTTTCAAAAGCACCAACACTTGCATTTTCCTTGTTTAAGAAAGTATATTATTTTCCTGTTTTCTAAGTTAAATTTAAGAATTAGAAATCATCTAAGAAACTCTCCCCCTCCTTTTTTTTTTTTCTTTTCTTATTTTGGTAGTTTGCATTTAAAAAGGCCATTATAGGACTTTTCCTTTTTTCAGTCCCAAATCAGACCATTATTTTTTTGTGTCGTGGTAGTCTGTGCAAATTGCTTTCTTTTAGTAAGTGATTCTAACCAGTGACATCATAGCTTTTCTTATTATTTCTGTACCTCAGATGGCTTTTAGCTATATGCTTGTAACTTAAAAACTGTAGTGATGTATCAAGTGAAAAGGGATTATGAATATCAAAGTACTTTGTTGCATTGGTGACTGAAACAGAAAGAAAACAACTTGGAGCTTGGTTAACAGTCACCACCAGCCAGGCTGAAGGGTTTAATGTGTTGATTCAGCATGATTAAACAAGAATAGAGTTGTAAAGTTTCTTTTGTTGGTAAAGCAAACAGCATGACTCTGAATATGGCACAAAAACCTACTTTGTTAGTCACGTTTAGGACCTGTGCCTAATCTTGAAAACTCTGATTATTCCCTTATGGTTGTCAGGTTTATAGTTGATAAGCTGGTAAAGAATGAAGCTGTTTAGTTTGTCATACTGATTCAGAAACATCCTTATTACTACTTCTACCTATAGCTGTATAGTACTCACTCATTTTATGTTTCAAAGCTGGCCAGGGGAAACACCTTCCACTTGTAGAAGACTGAGCCTGACAGGGTGTGTGGGGGTGTATTCACTTTGCAAATATTATATTTGTCTCCTGCTCTGCAGGGAAATTATTTGTTGGGGAGTCCTCATTCCAATGTTTGTTAGTCTTGCTCCTTTGGAAGCAGCTTTGTCATTAGGAGCCAGCTAAAATTTTGTTTAAAACAGGATACATATCTATTTTGAGTTCTGTAAATGAAGGAATTCTAAAGACTTTTGAAAGGATGCAGGAAAACTTCTAACTTTAGAAGTATTTTCTTTCCAGTGACAGAGTATCCTTGTTGATCTTCCTTATGATTTGAAAAATTACTTACATTCATAACAGTGTAATACACTACTAAAGCAGAAAGGAGTAGCACAAAACCAAAACTAAAAATGCATTTATGACCAATTCTCTGTAATGTGTAAATGCCTGAAAGCTCAGCATGTGTTATTCTCCTGTCAGCACAGGAAACTGGGCACGGTGTGTGGGTGCTCTGTCCTGGCATGGCAAGGCCAGCAGTGCGTGCTCCAGCTTGCCTGTGAGAGCAGCTCTTGGTTGTGTGCTTATCCTGCAATCCAGTAAGCAATTAGTAACTGCTGAGAGATCACTGGCATCTAATTTGAACAGACGTTTGCAGTAAGATGGGAAATGTCCCACAGCCATGTGTGATTTGAGGGAGAGGAAGCTTGGCAAGTGCAAAGTGGTGGGTACTGAACAAATGCACTGCTTTTTGGAGTAAGTGGAAAAGCACAGGAAACTTGCTGCAGCACATGGCTGTGTTTTAAGGCTCAGGGCACAGACATCACTCAGAATGCCCCAGTGTCTGTGGAAGAAAATGACTCTTTAGAGCAAACTTGAAAATTTCAGAGTTGAAGGTTCACCTTAATTGCAAAAGTTTGCAGTCAAGGTAACAGTTAAACTTTTTTTTTTTTTTTGAGAAAATTACCGGTAAACAAATAAAAGCACATACCCTCTGCAATTAAACTCTTACTGTTGGCTGGAAAAGTACTGAGGAAGTTTTCATTCTTCCTTCTTAGAAGCTACAGCCAGTAGTTTTCAGGTCTTGGATACATTACCTTCATGTAAACCTATGTCCACCTTCAGGGAGGAGAGGTGGACAGGACAGTGATTCCCTTGCTCTTTGTAGTTAGGCACAAGTGCTGCACACTGCCAGTTTCCATTCTGGAACTGTGCTTTTCCAACCCTGAGCTAATGGATTGTAGGACAGTGTCTAACCCCTCCATGCCAAAGAAAAGTGAGAAAAGCATGGGAAGATGAACAGTGAGAAGGCAGAACTTTAAAATGCTATTTTATGAACTTTCTCCAGTCTCTTGTTGAGAAATTACATGGCAAGATATTATTCATAACTTACGTGGACATACATGATTTGGAATAATGAGTGAAATAACATTTAAGGGAAAGTGTGAATAGGTGCAGAAAAATACTGTGTGCTATCCTCAGAAGTGCTTTGTTGTTGTTGCTTGTTGCCTTTTCCTCGGATTGTTTCAGTCAGCAAAGGCAGACTTTCAGAATTCTCCTGAGTTTACAAAAAAGCCTTCCCCAGCTTTCTTTTCCCAGACTTTGTGTCTCCCCCCACTCTGGTGCATTTCTAGCACAAAGCAGTCCTTGCTTGTGTTTTGTTCATGAGTTTTCCCTGCAGCTCTCCCAACCTGCCTGTGAGCCTGCCTGTCTTGTGAGTCATCAGATCTCCTTTGATCACATTTCTTCTTGTTTCGTTTATTTCCCTGCTTATTTCAATTTAATTTTATACCAATATTGCCTCATTATGGAAAGTGGTTTTTAGCATGCCTGCTATGAATGATGTACTGTAGTAAAAGATTGCAAATACAATTTTAAGTACTGGCAGGATTTTTCAGTTGGCTGCCAAAGCAGGGGATGTCTGAAAAGCAGAAATGTCAGCAGTGGCCATTGAAATGTAAATGAAATGCTTAATGTGACCTTTCTGTGAGTGTTTGGGTCTCTTGTTCTTTCTCCCATTTTCAGCCGTGTGCATATCACTGAAGCAACATTAAATCACCTAGGCAAAGCTTATGAAGTAGAAGAAGGGAATGGACACCTGAGGGATCCTTACCTTGAATCCATGAATATCAAAACCTACTTAGTGGTCGATCCAAGGGTATGTATTTGTTTTTAAACGTATTTATTCAAGTATATACACTCATTGTAAGTACATAGATTTCCGTGGTGCATACAGCTTTTTCATTCAGGAATAGAATTAAAGCATGGTGAGAATCACCTGGGCACCTTGAATTTGAGAGTTCAGAGCAGAAAACACATCCTACTTTTTTATGACATGCCTATTACATTGAAGGTCATAAATGTTATGCTCTTATGCGATCTACTTGGAGTAAAAACATGTATTTAATTATGTATTTGTGTGAAGTGTCTCAAAAACCCATGTCAAAAGATGAGGATGAAAGAATGAAAGAATACCTGTACTATGTAGCTACTTTCAGCTAAAATTTTCCCTGTAAAATAGCATCAGACATCTTCCTCACTATCTGGAAAGTAAGATTCACCTTCTTTTCAGGGTGTGAAGTTAGCAACTATAGGTTGCTCCTTCAGAGCTTGGAGTATTTTGGAGTATTGCTATTTTGAATTGGCTTGTGGTTGATGAATAAAATGTTTCAAATGAAAAAAGAATGCAGATGAGAAACTTCTTCCTACAGGAAGTGGCATATCTCTACTGGAAGGAACAGCATAGAGCCATTTGTAATTAGCAAGAGCTCACTCTTAACTTGGTTACATTTTTCAATATTGCAACTGCCCCCAGTTGCACACAGCACATATTCTCAGAATGAGAACCTATGTCCATTAAAATGTTCTCTGCTCCCTTGAAGGTACTTGTGAAATGTTAGAGAATAATCAGTCATCGATGTCTTGGTTTATTCTGTAGTTTTAGCTTCCCTGTAGCTCTGCAAGGGTATTGCAGTACACCCTGTCTGTACTGCCTGACTCAGCACCTGTGACAAAGGGATATAATCTGATGTGGAGTCTGTAATTTGTGGCATCTTGTAACCACTGTTTTGATACACCCCAGCTCAGGAATTTGGCACCGTTTTTCCCCTGCTGTAGTGCTGACTGCAAGGAAACTGTATTTGTTCATAACATCCTGTGAGTTCTTGCATCACTGTAAATAAACCTGGAAGTTTTTTCCAGTATTGCAAGAGAAGTCTCGTAAAGGCAGCTGAAGCAATTCATTGTGTGTGCTGTGATTTGCTTTAGCTCACATTAATTAAATGAGGTAAAGGAATTGAGGTCGGCTGACATGTTGCTGATGTGTTCAGAGCCCACAAATCACTGAGATTCGGACAGTCTTACACTACTCAACACACAGCGCTTCAGTATTTTGTAAATTCTGTGTGAATTTCTGTTTTGTACACGAGCGTGTGTTTTTCCTTCTGTCAGTCCAAGCAATGCGTGTCGAACAACCACCTCCCCAAAACGCGGGTGAACGACGGGCTGAAGATGCGCGCGTCCGTGCGGATGACGCGGTACCTGGAGTCCTGGGGAGCGGCGCGGCCCTTCGCGCACCTGAGCCACCGCGACAGCGTCAGCAGCGACTGCTCCAGCTCGCAGGGCAGGCGCAGGAAGGTCAGCTCTCACCTACAGCAAACTCAAAACCTGCTGGGATTTCTGCGCCTCAATGTCTGTGTGCGCACCAGGGGTGAGAGGGTGTCAGTGCAGCGTCCCTTTCTGTCAGAGCTCAACCGTATTCACACTGCCAATCTCTCTAGCATACTATAATCACAGTATATCTTCAAAGCAAAACTATCTATTTTCCTATTATTCTTCCGTCTTGAGATCCTGCCTGGTACACGTGCTTTTTAAAAAAAACAACAACCAGATGCGCTCAATACTTAATTGAAATCTACAGAAAAGAGTCCCTCCACATGCCTTCCCTGCATCTGGATTTTATCAGGAAAGAATTTTTAAGATCAAGAATTATTAAGGTTTTTAAGATTTTAAAATATAAGAAAATTTATTTTTCCTGCCATTTTCCCTTCCTGAAAGCTGGAAGTAGGAGATATGCTTGCTTTCAGGTGTGGTCCTGGAGCCACAGCTGTAGGAAATTTTAATTTAAGCATCCATCCATTCAGGTGTGTGGAAGTGGTTTCCAGTCTGCTTGCCTCTGCTGGTGCTTGCTTAATTATTTTGGTGTGTAGAGAAAAAATGAGAGGGAAGATCTATTTAATTATTTTCTAATAATCTTTTTTTTTAACGGAAAACATTCACTTCTTACTTGTTAAAGCAGAAAACATTGCTGGAAGGGGTTGATTTTTATAAGCATTTCTGTTTAGAATGGTTCTTGATTTATTTTATTTCTGAATAAAAATTGTTTTGGCAGTTTCTTGATGTTTGTTTCCCATAGTTGTTTGCTATTTAAAGCGTGTATAACTTATTCTTAATTCCTATTTTATTTAGGAAATACCTTTGTGTTCTACTGGGCGCCAGAGAACTTCTGATAGGTTTGTCAAGTACCTTCTTTTTTATTTGTGTTTCTGTGCTCCTCTTGCAGTTCAGTGTGCTGTAAGGATGTGATCATTTGGGTGATTAATCGCTGTGTGTATGGTAGTCCTGCCTGAGGAAGGTTAAGCTGAATCTCTGGCCTTTAGAAGATTTCTCAGCTCATGTTTGTTACCATTAGCAGACTCTAAAAGGAGCTTCTTGTCTCACTTGTCCCCATTCATTCAGATTCCATTTTGCTTTCTGAGCTGCTGCAGGGTGGGAGAAAATTGGGAAGGGAGAGCCCTAAAGAGCAGTGGAAAGATTTGGGTTTGGTAAATGTTGTTAATGTTTGCCATTAACACTGTGATAAAGAATTGTCACTTAAAAAGGTACCTGTAGCACTGAGTTAAATGAGGAGCTGATTTTCACTTGTGGAACATTCCCCCAGTTTGTCAAAACACTATCTTGAAAAATGCATGATTTGAGTAACTAGAGAAATGCTTAGTAAAGTGCTCATGGGTGTGTTTTTTCATCATGGTTTAACTTTTCCCCGGAAGCTTCCCTCACTGTGTGCTGAGAAAGTGTGCTCTGTATCCATTACTTGTTTCTGAGCAGCATTTGTCACACAGACTTTGTTTCATCCTCAGAAATTCATCTCAGAAGGGAAGGATAGAGGAAGATATTTATGATGAAATGATGTCAACCATTGAAGGCCTCAATTCAACTACGTATGCAGTACTTCAATTTATTTTATCATCTTTTCTTTGAGATTAACTTGCATTCTCAATTTAAGCCTAGATACAAGATTTATACATAAAGTTATCAGGATTTTTGTCCTGCCCTCTTTTTTTTTTGCCCTTGGTTTTTTTTTCAGTTACTTTTTGGATTGAATTTGAATATATGAGTGTTACTGCATTATTTAGCAAGAAGCCAGTGATCAGTCTTGCTGTTCAGTATTTTCTTTATTAAAAAAAGAAGTTGCATGTAATGGGGTGCCATACTTAACAAAAATCTACATATAAAGTCAAAACAGTTCTCTGGGTAATAAAATTGCTTTAGTGTCTGGTCCACCGAAGGCAAATGGTCTGTCAGGGGCAGGTAATTCCTTTGGTAGTACATGTGCATTTAAAAGCAGACAAACACAGGCAGTGGTGGTGGTTTGGGTTTTCTTTTTGTTTTAAATTAAAACAAAATACAATATTTAAATTCTTAACAAATTCCTAAAACACTGAATTAGAGAGGAAGAGCTTTCTTTCATCTAAATTCTAAGAAGGCAGTACCTCAGGTATTCCTAATAGGAGTCTGATATTATTTATGGGAATTTTTTGGAGGTTGTGAGCCCTCTCTAACATCTGCTGCTACACTTTGCTATTGCTAAGCCTTTGGCAAGGTTTGGAGCTGGCAGATGTTGCTGTGTGTGAGTGTTGTGGATCTGCCTGTCAGATGAGTAAAAACAACCCCTGGTTTGTTCTGCTATGAAACATAAAGACCTTGCAGAAGCATCAGGTGTGTGTTGAGAGTGGCTGTGGGGTCTGGAGTGCAGGGATGATTGAGTGTCCTGTCCTGTGCTCTGTGTGCTCCTGATAACCCCAGTCTCTCTCTGCAGCCCCTGGTGTGGCAGGTCAGATGACTTCTGTGGATTCTCACTGATCTTTGCAGAACCTGGTCTTGAAAAAGAGGTTGGTAAGAGCAAAATAACCCTTTGTGATCTTTTCATTTGTCCTTCAGAGCAGCATAAGAATACGTTTAAAACTTTTCATTCTGAAACTGGGTTCTGGAGGTAACTGCACATCCTAAGAGGTTTCTGCTCTCTAATGGAAAACAGATTTCAGGAGTTGTTTGAATTGGTCATTCTTCCTCGAGAACACAAATTCTGAGCTTCAACTAGATTGTCTCTTATCTGTGGTCAAATTCTTGTCATAAAGGAGTTAGTGAGAGTTTGATAATTTTTCTATATGAACTACTTCCCTCAAAAGTAATGAGATTTAAAGAAGGAAATAATAAAAAAAAGATATTTTTGCATCCATAATGAAAACACTTTGTTTTCTGTGACTGTTTCATTGTAGATATAATGCTGGTATTTGTTAGGTGCGGTGTAGTTTTTCTGTTTGAATAATTCCTGTTAAATTTACTGTGCTGTGGATGTAGTTACTGGTGTGGGTCTATACATTTACTTCTGTGTGTGTCCTTTCTTGATAAGGATTTTGTGGAGAGCTGATTTAAATACTGCCTGGATTTCCCTCTAGGTTGGAAATTTGAAAATCATCCTTTGGACTGGGCTGTTTTTCTTCAAAGATGTTCAAGTGATTGCTTTTTTTTTGGATGGGGATCTTCTTTTGTTCTGTTTTAGTCCTGGGTATATTTTTAATAATACAGTATAAACTTGTATATATGTGTCATCTCAAGGATGTAATAAAATTAAGCAATATCACCCCTGAAATGACCCTGATGCTTTGTTCTCTCTGTGTTTCAGTATCGCACCATTCCTATTTTAAAACTCAAGAGTTACTTTGTGTGTGCCAGTTTTGTGTTCCTCTGTATATTTGTGATCCAGATGCTTATCATGCCAAAGTAAGTGCTGGTATTTTAATTATTTATAAGTAAAATTAACCAACAGCTAAAGTAAACCTCATGTGCATGAAACTTTTTGGAGTTCCTGTGGGATTGAATTTAAGAAACATATATTAATTTACCCCGTGATAAAGGAGAGCATTCACGTTGTTGGCATAAGAGCCAAGCTACCACTATGAAAAGAAAATAGAAATATTTCTTTAATATTTTGTTTGCTTAGTTCTCACAGGGAGGTGGTCAATTAAGTAAGAAATACTATTTGTTAAGAGCAGTTGGCTGTAAGGACACTGAGCAGTAGGAAATGGGATTTAGCTGGTTAAACTGTGCTCAGTGATCCTTTTCTGTAGAGCTACGAGGAGGCAACTTTGAGGTGTTTGTCACACCTCCGAGAACACAGGTGATGGGTAATTCTGAAGTTTATGGCTCATTTGTTTCTCGTGGCTGTTGCAGTGCAGTTTCCATGTGATTTATGCACAGGGCAGTGGCTCAGGCCATCAGGAGCAGAATCTTTTAAAGAATCTCTCTGAAAGTGACTGTGCAACAGAGCAACAGTAACCTGTGTGATGCCGTGGCCATTCAGTGCTATTTGAAGAAAAATCACGTTTCAGCTTGTTTTTTTAAGTGCTTTCTTCTTTTCTTTTTAGAACTGCAGAACTGGGAATTTCCTTTGGGGTTGTTGCAGTCATCATTGTGCTTATTTTGTTTGTGTGCTTTGCTGAGAAATGTCTGGTAAGTTTACTTTAAAAAATACTTCTTATTTTCAAAAGTGGATGGATATATTTCAGCAACCTGGTCTGTCTTTTAGGCTGATGAAATTTTAGTAATTTCAATAGGAGTTACAGGAGCCTTGAACCTCAGGTTATCAGAAGATTCCATTGCCTGAAATGGATTTCCTTTCAGATGAATTTTCATGTCTGAAAATTCTCACAGTAATTCAGAATTATTTGGGTGTAAGAATAGATGGGTAGGAGGGAGGATGTGTTTGTTTTTTTTTTTTTTTAAATATATTTTTATTTTTGTTTGTCATTAATAGTAATTTTGGTTGTAAATACTGTTATCCTCTATGCTGGAAACAATATTGAAATGAGTTGGAACCGAAGATCAGTTTTCATAATAATTTATGAAGTGTAATGAAAATTACAAACGTGAATAATTTATTGGCAACAATTTCATGGCTGTTAGAATTCCAAATTCACCATTACATCAATTAGGACACTTTGCACTTGTAGTTCCTTTTTCTTTGCATTATTAAACACATGCAATTACTATTTAAAAATATATAGTGACAGAGAGAGCCCACAGTGACGGAGAGTTCAATGATACAAAATAAATAAAAAAAAAAAAGTCCTTCTCATTTCAAGAACTGCTGGGGGCAGGGTGGGGAGAGGGAAGGGATTTTAGAGAAGGGATTTTAGATTGTTCCTTGCAGTCATCAAAGCTGCACTGCAGCACCCCAGTGAGGGGATGGAGCTCTCCAGGGAAAGGAGGAGTCTCTTACAGAGCCATGGTCAAGCTGTAGGAAGGGGAAAGAAAAAAAAATAGAAAATTGCACTCAGGACAAAGGATAAATATTTATGACTCATTTAATTGTATGGTTAGACAGATGTATGGGTTTTATATATGTATAGTATTTATATATATATATATATGGATTTTTGCATATATGTCTGTAGAGAGAGAGGGATGTGTGTATATCCATTCATGTGATTTTTCTCTACATGTGTAGAAACACACGGAGAAAACAGAAAATTCCAAGACTGAAATTGCATCAGACTTTAGTTTTATGCTGGGAGTGTTTTGGTGCAGCACCATGAAATAATGCTTGTAGTCATTAAAATTATATGCTTTACTGGATGTTTTTTTCTGTAGCAACAATTGGAGGATATAGGGATGGCAAGAATGGGGTCTGTCTAGGGTTGGTTTTGATTTAGTAATCTGAAAATTTAGTTCCAAATATAACATTATAGCTCTATAACTAAAAAACAAAACAAAACACTTTTACTGCATTTTTATTAACTTTTCTCTAGAACTTTAAAACAGACCGTAATTCTGTATTGTTAAAGCACAAATTCAGAAAATTTTAGCACTCAACCCCTTAGACAAAAGGAAGCATTGTCTCTATTTTCAGCTGGGGAAAGGTGTTAGGTGTTGATTGTGAATGACGAGATTCAAGGTTCTAAATTAGAATTCCAGTGAAGGCTCTTGACGCTCTCCTTTGGAATAAAGGTCAACTTTATATTTAGAAATATTTCTTCCCCTGTATCAAAGCGTTATCCCTGTTATTGAAATGAATTAATTGTGTTTTCAGAAGTGCTGCTCAGATCAGTGGCCTCTCCTTCGCCGTCTGTGTGCTGTCTCAGAAAAGGTGGAAACAATGCCTTTGCTTAGGCTGCCCTTAGCAGTCATCACTATAGCTGCCTTACTCATTATAGCCATTTTTAATTTGGTAAGTAATCACATTCATTGATGAACTTATTGTAAAATCTACAGTTTATTAACTTCCTGTACTCTTTTCATCAAATACCAGTTTTTGCTGCTTTTTCTAATGCCTGATTTGCAACATGAGTTGATTTGCACAGGGATAGTGCATGATGACAATTAAAAGCATTAGAAATAAGAGGTCTTAGTTTGTGGAACTGAAAATACACGTGATAGACTCTAGTTCTAGTTTGCACCAGCTTTTCTTGTTTTCTAGATGTCACTTAGAACAACTCCTTATTACTAAGATGTTTTCTATTTTTTAATGTGGCTTTAAATGTTTGGCAGTGGCAGGAAGCACTCTAAGCAGTTCACTGTGGTATTTGCACTCACTGGTAATAAGGGAGATAAGGGAGGGAAGAACATAGCTTGGCTCTCTTTTAAAAGCCAAGGCACTGAGGATAGGTACTGCTGGAGTAAGGTGGAAATGGCATCTGTCTTTTAAATTTAGTTTGAGTATTATATTGCACCTGGGGTATGTACATTGAGTAACTGTGCTGTGTTTTTTTATTTAAACAAGCTCTGTGTTAACAGTTCCACCTAACTTAACTATCAAGTTAACTACTAAAACTGATGTCCTCCTGATCCCATGTGTTTGTTTGCCTTGCCATTCTGATTGCAAGAGGAGTTCATTCTGAAAGCAATAAGAAAATGCAGAAAATGCTTAATTTTCTTCCATGGGGTGTTTTTTCTGCTGGCTTAGGTCCTTGAATGGACTCACAATGGTGTCATGTGACCACCAGAGACAGTCTGAAAGAAAACATGAACAGCAGCTGTGAAACTGGGGGGTGAGACAAAACCACATGTTTGTGCCAGATAGCTGCTAAATTAACATAGCCATGATGTAAAACTTTACCCCCAAGTAGAAAATAAGTAAATTTTAACCTTCTTGCAGCTTGTATGTGCATATGTGTTTAATACAACTACATGGGATGCCATTGTATTTCAACACTTATTCAGTAGCACTGAAAAGACCACCAGATCAGCACATTTGTAAAATACTTGGAGAAAAAATCAGTGATTACCTCCTAATAAGTTTGTATGGTGGTTTTATTGATGTGTTGTGTTTTGTGGTGTTTTTTTTTCCTCCCCTCCAATAAATCCAGACTACCGAAAAGAACAAGCCTGCCAACTTTACTGGATCAAATGATCTGAGTGCTACCACCTGTGTGAGTAGAATACCATCTTCATTTCTAGGATTAAAATGAAATGAGTCCTGGATGATGAGTATAGAATCATAGAACATCCTGAATTGGAAGTGACTCACAAGAATCATCAAAATCCAAGTCCTGTCATGTAGATGGATGGCAACATCTTACATTTTTTTCTTTTTATTTATAAAGATAGGGCTTGGGTTTTTTAAAAAATTGTTGTACATGAAGACTTGCTCACAACACAAGGCAGTTTTAAGGGATATTTTTTATTTTTACATATGGCTTGCTTGTGGATCCTTTTGAGATTTTCAGAAGTCTGGAGTATTCATGTATTAAAAAGAAGTTTTGGTTTATTTTGGTCTCTCAGCATATTTGAAAGGTGGTCTCTAGCATTTCTCTAAGGGTAAATTCATCACTTACTAGTGACACGAAAGTATTATTTCACTTTTTATGTCTTTAATGCCAAAGTAGTGTTCCATTTTGAGTTCATCCAAATGTTTGGGATGCTCCTTTGTCACCTGGCCATCCCTTTAGATGATGGCCATATTTTTGAATTATGTGCAGCAGATTGTGTGAGGAGCCTTTCATTCAGGTGCTTATGACAAATGATAAGTTACACATATGAAATGCACGTTGTACTCACCTGGTAATTTTTTGTTCTTGCATGTTTGTAAATCAGACTTTTGGAAACACAACTCATTCCTGCATAGAGGAAACTGTAAGTAATTAATGCATCTTACTTAAACCTGATCTTTAATGTTGTGTGTATTACATTTTTACATTATTACATTACAGTTCTGTTGCTGTATAAAAGGCAGCTTTTTTAGGTGTCTGACAGCAGAAAAAGTCGTCATGAAATCCAGACTATTCAGCTGCTGCTGTTGTGCTGAGTAAAATATGACTTTGCAGTTTTTAGAAATTTCAGACTTAGAAGCAGGTCTAAAACTTTAAGGAAAAAACCAGCAGAATGTGGTGATGATAATATTTGAGTCTGAAAGATGATAGCTATACTTGTGTGTGTCCCAGTAAAGTGTGTTTACAGAGTAAAAGGGCTTAAGTGGCTGACAGACCTCTGGTGGTGTTCTCTACATAGTAGCTCCTTTTCCAGAGGTTTGGCATCTTTTGGGGGTAGACTCAATGCCTTTAGGATGACAGTGTTGGTATGTGTTATATGTGGGCTCTGATTAGGAGTTGCCTCATAAATTGTTTGGGTTTCATTCACTTCAGCAGAAGTATTAATCATTTAGCCAAGAATCTCACAGTTCTGTGGTAGGCCTGTGCTATTAGAGGTGGGAAAATGCATAGAGAAATGAATTCTTGAGGAGCAGAAGCTGAGGTGATTTTGGAGCTGCCTGTAGTCTGAAGTATGGCAGCTGAGCACCTCACACCTGTGCCCGTGGCTCAGGCAGCAATCCTGTCTGCACCACACACTTGTACCGAGCAGGCTGACCTCACACACCGTGCCCGAGCTGGGATCTCCCTGCCACAGTGCTCAGGAACTCCATAATGAGGATGTGGCCATTGCTTGATAATGTTTATGAGCACCAAAGGCTAAGGCTGGGTCAGCTCTCACAGTCTCCAGCTGTTACTGGTGTGGGAGGGGGTGTCTGCTTTGGGTTACAATGGGAAAGCACAGTCAAAATAGGATTAGAGCACTGGTTCACAGCTGGTTCACTGGACTATGAACCTACTTTAGATTAGTCTTAAACTTTAAATAAATAATTGCTTAAATTAAGAAGCTTCAGTAGATAAATTCTCAACACTTCAGTTTTTATCTGGCATTGCTTACTTATGTTAATTTTTTTGTTTAAATATTTTTGTTTACGCATAACTAATTAAAAATGTAAATTAAAATTAACAGTAAGTTCCTCCTTTTAGTGCCATTAAAAAGAAAGCTTTAAGTGATTGCAGTTTCTTTGTTTTAAATTGCAGTGAACTCAGAGCATTTGCTGTGGTTTGAACATCTCTTAGACATAATTCTGAATAATGCAAAGGCTCTTTACATTCCTCTTTTACAGTATTATGCTTACTGCTGTATATTGGGGTTCATTGCCTGCTCGGTATTTCTTCAAATGAGCTTCGAACTCAAAGTTCTCCTCCTGTCCATTGCTGTGACTGTCTACCTCATTGTTTTTAATACCCTTCAGCACAAAGACATCTACAGCAACAGTACCAGGTGCATTGTAAAGTTTCTCATCCTTTAATGCTTCACTTAAGGAAGTGTTAGATTTTTGTGCACTTACATATTTTGAATATATGAATATTGAAATATCAAAATCATGTAAGCCAGACACTGCAAACCTTTCTGTAAAGTTAACAACATGGAAATCCTATTAGACCAGGTCACCTTTTTTTTTCTTTTTAAACAAAGTGTATGTTCTCTGGAAAAGTTCTGTAATGGGGCTTCTGAGATCCCTAGAAACCTTGGATTACATTAAGGACTAGAGAGTAGAATATTAATGTCATAGTAAGGTTGATCTTATGTTAAGTTATGAAGAAAAACCTTGCTAAAAGTCTGAGGCTCAAGCTGTGCTAGTGAGACCTTGGTAGTCAATAGGAATGTTGAACTCTTCGTGTTCTAACCTAAGTGCAGGTATTTTGAAAAGTAACAGTGATTTACCTGATCTAATTGCAGAAACTGAAAATACTGAAATCCATGCAAAGGCTTTACTGTGTTTTTAAGTCTTTCTCAGATTCGTCAGCATAATCTCATAGCTGAAGATTAGAATAAATTTATTTTGCAGGGGCTTTAACTTGTCAGCACACCTTAAAAAAGCTTGAGTGAACTTAATCATTCATATTATGAGAATTTAATTTGCATTTATAGAAAATAATTGATGTGGTAAAATTGAATCTCCACTCATATTTCACAGTAAGATCAGATACAGGTATGATTTAACTGCTGTCTTTGTCTTAGGAATTCAGGTTTTTAATTTGTTATTGTCTTACCTTCCACAAATAAGAAAGTTTCTTTTCCTACCTCAAGGTGTTGTTGGCTGTGTTTTTGTAGGGTGGTGTGGGGCAGGAGCTGAAACTCAGTCTGGTGGAAATTAAGGTGGCTCCATTAAGATTAAAGCTGTGCTTACTTGAGCATCTCACTACAAGAGCTACTGAACAAAGTTTCAACTCCCAGTGTGTTCTGATGTGAAAGGCATCATTCCATGTGTTGGGCTGGCTGATAATCCTTTCTTCTTGTTAGGACAGGACCTGTCCCCAGCCAGCCACTGGCACAAATGACTCTGTGGGGCAAATCTGGACAGACACCCTCTTCCCCTCACCTCCCACCCCAGCCCTCCGTCGTGCACATATTCTTAAAGCATACAGATGACTTTGTATTGCTGTCTTATTTTCAGGTTTTTCATCAAGGAGCCAAGGATAATGACTAATTTATATCTGGTTCTGTTTTACATAACCCTAGTTTTACTTGCAAAACAGGTATGTATTTAAAATGCAGTCATGGAGTTCCTTTACTTGCAGCAGTTGATTTAAATAAAATGCAGAAGTGTTGTTCCTTGAAATTGTGCTCTAAATTAGTATGTATTTTTATCTTTTTTTAATATTCTGGTCTCGAGGATAATGCACTTGTAATTAGTTTTTGGTAATGAAAAAGATTTTTCTAGTTTTCAACAGTGTTTGCATGACAGACGTGAGAACTTCCTGATTCTTACAGTTTTGATCTATCTGTATTTATATAACTGTATTAATTCTAAATCAACGTATCAATTCAAGATAAAAATAACCATATCAATAAAGTGTCATTTTGGTAAATAACACCTGATGGTACCAAATGACATTTCGTCTTAGTGGCAGCTTCATATTTTTCTGACCTTTGCTCTCAAATCACATTTTTCATAACTATATAGACTCAAAAGGTCATGAAGAAAGTATTGCTACTACACTTCTTGAGAAAATTGCCTAATATTTTTCAGTGAGTTATTTTATGGATTTAATTTATCATATTTGATCTCTTTGCAGATTGATTATTACTGTCGATTGGATTGTCTGTGGAAGAATAAGTTTAAAAAAGAACATGAACAATTTGAAACTATGGAGAATGTTAACAGGCTTTTGCTGGAAAATGTACTTCCAGCACATGTTGCTGCATATTTCATTGGAGAAAAACGGAATGAGGTGCGTTGAGTCTCTCCTGTGTGAAGGACAGCAAATTGGATTTCTGTGATATATGTTACACATGATGTGAAAAAGAACACAGACTGTAAACTTCTGCCATCTTTACCTCTTGTTTGTATTCCAAAACCTTTGTAGACCCAAGAACCTGTTAGCCAGATGGCCTCAAAAAAATGGGAACGTTCAGTGTCAGCCCCTGAAATCTGTTCTCAGAATTAGTAGTTCAGTTTCAGGACATGGTTTAAGTTTGGCAAATATTTAAATGAGATTTGCTGCTTTCCAAGGGCTGTATTTGACCAGAGAGGCTAGGTCACTGTTTTTAGGGATATCAGTTGTGGAGCAAATAGTATCTCCCAGAGAGAAGTTCATTGATAATGACTTTTTTTTAAAAGAAATCTCATTCTGCCAACATGTCAGAGACAACAATGCTGTGTCTCAGAAGAGTGACAATGTCCAAGTAGATGAAAATGTTTAAGATATCTTTCAGGAATCTCAGCTTTTCCTTAGGCAAATCCACTTTGTTAATGTTTCTGGTGGAATAAGAGATGTGGCTGACCTCATGGGAAAGCTGTAATTTGGTTACTGGTTACAAACAATTACCGTGTGTGGGGGCCTGGGGGCTGCTGATAATGTGTGGGTTTATTGCTTTCCTTTAGGACTGGTACCATCAATCCTACGACTGTGTCTGTGTCATGTTTGCATCAGTACCAGATTTTAAGGTGTTTTACACTGAATGTGATGTCAATAAAGAAGGCTTGGAATGCTTGAGGCTCTTAAATGAAATCATTGCTGATTTTGATGAGGTAATTAAGCTTCTGTCAAAAATGCACTGGATTACATATCTACTGCAAAATAAATGTTTTAGTAGATCTGTGAGCATTAGAGGGGAAAAAACATTTTTATGCTGTACTAATATTCCGACTTAAGCCTTGCAATCTTGAAAGATATTTTCTCATCTGGTTGGGATTTTCAAGTACATCATCTAATCCAGTAGAAATATAGTTTGAAAGTCCTGAATTTAAGGACTTTATTTCAGTACTTCAATGCCTTCATTTCTCCTGTGAGTGGGTAGAGCAAAACTGTGAAACTAATTCTCAGTATTTTATCTAATCTTCATGTGAGTGACAGTATTGCTAGAGATGTTTAATGCTTATGGTAGATAGTATAAGATTTCTGGTTAAATACTACATTGAAATATGGTATTAAAATCTCAAGTTTTTGTTTTCTTTACATTCAAACAGCTCTTGTTAAAACCTAAATTTAGTGGTGTTGAAAAAATAAAAACAATTGGAAGCACTTACATGGCAGCAGCTGGTCTCAGTGTTACACCAGGCCAGGAGAACAACCAGGTATGTTGGTTCTGAATCTGCCTTTAGTACTCTGTGGGTGCATAGGTGTGTTCAAAATAACAAAATGTAACGTGATATGAAAAAGTAAATCGTGAAGGGTGACTTTCTAAAATATGGAAAAAATCTCCTAGTTCCATTTTATTGCCAAATTAAGGTGTTCAGTCTGTAATCCCAGCATACTTTTTACATCTTTCATCTTTGATTACAATAGTTTAACATTCCTAGATGCATAACAGAAGGGCTCTAATAATAGGGGAATCAAAGAAAAGGCCATCTCAGAACTGGACAGTAAGCTTTTTGTGATAGCTGAGAACTGGCACAGAAAGAGGATCCTCATGGGCCACATTAGGTCTGAAACTGTCACCTAGAATTAACACAATTTCTCTGGCTCATTTTCACTATAGCAGGTTTGTCTATAACATTAAGATGCATATAACAATATACTCAAAATTGGTAAAATTAAAGCTGAAACCCTAAAGGACAGACCTTAATTTGCTATAAAGTTTAATCATATCATGCTTGTTATGTCTTAGCCATCCCACCTGAATTTAATGGAGTTTTGAATTTCTGCAGTTCTGCACTTACAAGGACGAGTGGTCTCATCCTTAAAAACATTCCAGTCACTTCTAGTGCTTTGGAGCAGCAGCCTGACACAGCCTTTTGTGCTGTAATTTGATCATTAATATGTGTTCTGACTTGCACAGGACAGGGAAAGGCAGCACGCTCACATTGGCATTATGGTGGAGTATGGAATTGCCCTGATGAGTAAACTGGATGGCATCAACCGACATTCCTTCAACAACTTCCGCCTGCGCGTTGGTGAGTGCTGCGTGTGCGGAACAGCAACTCCACAGCTCACACTAGTGACAAATGAGGGAGGATGATGGAGGTCCAAGGGCTGGATAGCCAAAGGCAGGATTGTCTGGTCAGCTTTTCAGACAGGCCAGGCTCTTCCTCGGATGGGCATTTTCTCATCACTGGAGGGAGCAGCAGGAAGAGTGCAGCTGGATGACTTTGGAAGAAATGAAAGATACAGATGAAATGTGAAGCACCCTGTTAGTGACTGTTGACTAAAGACAGTATTGTCATTACAATGCTCATTTCTGTATATTAAAAGTAGAAGAGGAAGATTTTTGTTTTGTGCCCTAGACTTCCCATTTTGCAATGAGTGAGTCACTTGACATCTGAGCCTCAGTATGAATATTTATAGAACAGTACTAATACTGATTGCTAGAAAGGTGTTGCAGAGTTAAGTTCTGGGATGTTTTATTTCCTCTGAAGCTACAGCTAACAATGAAGCTGGAAGTCACATCCCTTTCTACCTTGTTTGTGCAGGGATCAATCATGGCCCGGTGATTGCTGGTGTGATTGGTGCCCGGAAGCCTCAGTATGACATTTGGGGCAACACTGTCAATGTTGCGAGCCGAATGGAGAGCACAGGGGAGCTTGGCAAGATCCAGGTAAAACTATGAGCCTTGCAATGTCCAAGGCATTATTTCTAATTGGTTGGAATTTTGCTTTAATGTGAATAATCAAAAGAATTTAACGAGTTTCCAATTCTTTTCACACAAAGGTCACAGAAGAAACAAGCAAAATACTACAGGAGCTGGGATACTCATGTGAATGTAGGGGACTCATTAATGTCAAAGGCAAGGGAGAACTGAGGACTTACTTTGTTTGCACTGAGACAGCCAAATTCCAAGGCATGGGACTGAACTGAGGCTACAATGAAGTTAATCAAAATAGACTTAGATCTGCCTCCCTTCTGTGAAGACGTAGAATTTCCCTCCTTATGTGAAGGACTTTATTCTAAAATCATTTATATACTGTTCCTAGAAGACACACAACTGTCAGTCTGAGAAAGACTACCTTTTCCTGAAGAAATTTGAAGATTTACCTGGAATTGCCATGAAGCATTTTCAGCTAGTCGCTTTCCTTTCTGCACTGGGAGTCTTTAACAGCTGCGGTGACAACAGGTGTGGATGCTCTGCAGAACTCATTCCCCTGTTAAAACATTCCATTGCCTGCTTGACACACACCCGCTTACAGTATTGTGTTTGTGCTGACACGTGCAGTGATACTGAGGGCACTGCCTATCCTGCTTTTAATGCTGAACAGACTTCACAGCAGAAGACAGCTGAATAATGGGAAGAGGAATGCAAGGACACTCAAGTGTATCACATGATAACTGTGCAGAGCTCTTTTGGGAAAAAACCTGCATTGCACACTGTGGGGTCACTTCACCACCCTCCCTCCTCCACAGCAGTACCTTATGTTATGCAGATGTTTTCATGACCAAGAGCTGCTCAGAAATAACTTTCATCTAGTTCATCATGTTTACATTATATTATACATTCTCCTTTGTATTTCTCTGTAATTAGTTTCTGCATGTGCATTTTGTTCTGTCATGGTAAGTCTTAAATTTTTAACGTTAAATTTCAAAAAGTACAAGTGATGGTGAGGAGCATGGGGGACAGGCTGACAGCAGCTGCTGCTGATCCCAGCAGGAATTCTGAGTCTGTGCTATGTTCTTGAGGGCACTTAGGGAAGAAAAAATAATCTGTTCTGAATTGCTGGGAAGCTGAAGAACAGAATTACTGAGATAGTATTAGAAACAGTAGCAGATACTGTATAAACAGGACTGTGTCTGTGGTGGGGTTTGTCTTTTTTCCTGTTCTTATTTCTACAATGTGACTAGCCACTGGCTGGTTTCTATGTCTTTCAAAGGCAATGCAGTTTTTTTCATAAACTGGTTTTGAAGGTTACAAAAGGATATATGGAAAAAACGTATTCATAATGGAAATGTTTCAGCAGAGCCCCAATACTGGAAATATGAGTAGAGCATTCATAAGATCATTGTGGACATGGTGTAAATTAGTTTAGTTTGTGAGGTTTTTAAGCTGTTACTGGCCTTTGCTAATTTCTACACTGGCATTTTTTTACTTACTGCAATGTCTTAATCTGTTTGCTGTTGGTGGAGATGATAGTAGTCTGTAAGGCTAACATCTTGTCCCCAGTTATGCCCATTACCAAGGATGGATTCCCCCTTTCCCCATGTACCACGTTAGGGCTGGACAGCACTGTGATTAGTGAGTACAACACCTGTTTGGTTCAGCCTTACTCCTCTACAAACAGCATTTCCTAATGCTTCTGGGTTTAGTACCAACCCATCCTGGAAAATTGTTTAAGCAGTCCTGTGCCTCACTGCTGCTTTCTAATTACTGTGTAATTTCTTTAGAAGAGGAAGTGACTATGTTTCAAGACAGGAACAAAACTAAATATTGTCCAACTGTGGATTAAAAATCATGCTTGTAGTCTTTGTCAATTTTGTAGATCAAATCTGTGTGTAGTAGGTCTCCAACAGAAGAGAGCATGTAAGAAAACCTGAGTTTGAGTTGTCTGGTTCACACATGGGCTCTGCTGAAGAAGGAAGTGTCATACTTGCTGTCGTGTTAGTGCAAGTCAGTGTTGTAGTTGAATAAACCTTCAAACAGCTTTTGCTACTCTTGTATTTTGTGTATTTGTAGTTACAGGTGCTTGTTTTGAGATATTTATTGTTTTACAGGACCATGCATGTATCAAAGGCTCCTTTCAGCAGTCTTTGATGTCATGTTAGGTAAAGTGACCATTTGTCTCATGAATCTGTTTTGAAAAGTGCATTATGTCTATAAATAGAGCTGGCTCTGAAGTGCTCCTGTTCACAGAACTAGTAGACTGCAGATGTAAGGTATCTATGAAACAACATTTGCTGTCTGTAACAGCATTTTGAAATGCTTTTGTTTACATGTTGCCTGTCAGGCTGGTAACTTGTTAGGGTGTAACTTCAACTCGACCTCATTTGCAGAAGTGGCAGGAAGAGCTGCAGCTTCCAAAGGGGAAGGAGTTGGGTTTGGTTACAGGTTTAAAAAGAATGCTAGCTTGGTGTGCTGTGCACAGCCTTCTTGGGGAAATTAGAAACTGTATGTAATGAAAAAGAGGATGACTAATTTCTCACCAGAACTGGAACTGTATAATTTGAGAGCTATATTCAACCACAGAAAAAGTTCAATTTAACAAGCAACTGTATTGAAATAATTGTTTTCAGTAATCCTTCTGAGAGTGAACTGTGAAACTTAACATTGAGAAAACAATCTTGGTGGAAAAATCTTCCTTGCAGCATTATTTTTTTTCTTAAATGGAAAAAATGGCACTGTATCTAATTTGAAGAGCTAATAACATCTGGAACTAGGAATCTGTTTTGAAGAACAAACTTTTGTTTTTACTATGAAATAAAAGACTTCTTGAAACATGTCTGGTTTTGCAATTATTTTGATGGAGATACCCATGAAAAGGAGGTATATTTTTTGTAGTGCTGCAGACTTAATGGGACTGTTTTCACTCATAAACTAAACTTAGTATTTATCTTTTTAAAAAATGTAGCCAGTAGAAAATGCTTAGAGTGACATCCACGTGTTCAACAGCTGATGAGAAATGTCAATACTTCCATGTCTGGCAGCCACCTCCTGCACCATCTAAAAGGTGAGTGATGGGCAACGAGACACTATGGCAGGAGCCAGTAAGGATTTGGCCGGCACATTTGCCCTGAAGCTGTTTTTTTTTTTTTTTTTGTAGCATGAAAATGATTTATATAGTAATGGAAAAATTCATTCTCTGGAGTAATAATTCAGCTGCTATTACCTAGAACTGCAAAAATTCCAGTGGCGACTCTGAACTCTTCTGGGACAATTCAAACTACCGAAGAAAACCCAGGCTGACAGTTAAAAATTTTGCAATGTATTTTAGTAATTGTGAAAGTTTAAAAACAAATCTTTCTGCAGCGTTTTTTAGAGAGGAAGGAAGGGATGAAAGAAGCAAGAATGATGTTGGCTGTAAGACTGAGAGGGTGGAATTCACAATGCTGTTTGGTCTGTAAGTTACCTCTTAGTTCAGTTCCCTGCCCCTGCACACAACAGGGATGGCTCGAACCCTACAGCTCATTCCTCTTCACTCCAAGGTTGTACTGGAATCGTGGATTAAAGAAAAGCAGTATCTAAAACCAATTCAGGATGCCTGTGGTAGAAGCCATGTGTAGCACTGTGTGATGGAGTGAGAGTAAGGGGGGAGCACAGGGAAAAGCTTACTTGAGTGTGTGTGCCACTGGCTGCACCTTTACCCCTTGCAGTGCTTGAGTTCTCTGTGCCTGAGAGCTGTGCTGCACCTCTGGCGAACAGGAACTGTCTTTTAATGTGACAAGGCTTCAAAATGTATGCTCCTTTCTGATAAACAGGCCTAGAATCATTATCCAGACAGTGTCTGCTAATACCTCTGCATAATATGAAGAAGTTTCTGCCTGAGTGTCTCAGAGATGACTGTACCACCTCCATGGGGTACTTTTACTTGCTGAAAGTAGGTGGGTTTGCTAGTCTCACTTCTGGTCATGGGTCTGAGCTTGCCCTCCAGTTTTAAGCACTGTAAGGACACAACAAGGTTTCTTTAAGAGGAGATTCATCTACATTCAAAGTCTCGCAAAGCTGAGCTTTTTAAAATTCATCACACTGCATCAGTTTTATATAAAAAGTTTATTTCTCTTCCTCATGTCCATGGGAGTTGCACAGTAATTTTAAAAAGGGGAAGTTGCATGTTCAGACACTTAATGATGTTTGCACTAACCAGACTCAGAGACAAGTCTATACATTGCTTCTAGAAACTTTTGGTTGAGTCCCTGCACCGTATATAGGCACGTTTTCATTATACTTTGACTTTTGCAGACACTTGGTAATTTAGGAAAACTTAAATGCAGCAGAGGAGATTAAAAATAGTAGAGAATGCAAAAAGAATAATTTAGTGCATTTACATAGCAGAATTAAGTAATACAAACCCTCCAAAAGCCATCAGTTTCAAAATTTAATAAACAAAAGTAATTTAACACACAATAAACACACACGGTGAATGCACCTGAAGAACATTTACCTGGTTCTTAAACAGAATCAAACAAACAGCTGTAAGCTGAACAGAATCTTCAGCCTGTAACTGCACCACACTCATTTTCAGGGACAGTGATGGTCTTTTTAGGCTCTTCAAAGTCTGAAAGTTTATAAGATAGCAGGTCACTGACCACAGAATGCAAAAGTGAAGACATGCATATACAGCAGAGCATGCCTCAGGTCATTTGATATTTATGCAGATAGCCCTGTATCAGCTAGCTGTTTGTTCTGCAACAGTACCAGAAAATCCTGTGTTTCAGTTGGTTCTGCTACAAAGCCTCTGTGTTATGTTATGGAAAAGGCTCAATAATATTGAAACTGGAATTTCTTGAGCAGTTTCCTTAAAAATAGGAATGAGTTCCTGAATTAATAATGCTCTATCAGTTAAAATGTTATTTAATGAAGGCTTTCAATATCATAGATTGAGTAAATTTGTTGTGTGAATTATGTTTCGTGAGAGGAAATTCTTCCTGCCCTATCCTAACTCTGGGTACTCTTTTGCTGTGCATGTGCTAAATGGGGGAGGACAGGGTCTGGCACTGAGACTCCACTGACCAGACCCTCTAATCCAGCAAAAACAGCCACTACTTAGGCTGGAGGGCACAGCCAAAAGCCTGGAGAAGAAAGAATCAAAACGTTCTTGTTTTAGCAAATGAGGAATTTTAACTCCTCTCTTGCAACTTCACACAAAATGGAAAAACTAAAATTAAATTAATAACTAACCAAAGTTCCATACACACAAAAGATTCATTTTGGACTGAGACCAAAGGCAGCAACTTTCCATTCGAAACAGAATTTAAAAAGGAGAGAACTGAAAATTGGAACCACACTACTGCAAGTTCTACCATAAGCCAATCTAAGGATTTGCAGATGTGGTTTTGTTCTAGCTGAACAGATGCTACAAGATGTTTTTGTATACTCACCCTCTGTCAAATCTACCCAGCTGTCTTCTGTCTCAGGTAGAGGAACCGAGATTCCCATTGCTTTCCGGATTCCATAGGTACTGACAATGTCACCTGGAGTCACTTGCTGGGCAAGTTCTTTCAGGTTATTGGTTACTCTCTCAGCTGGCAAAGACAAAAGGATGTGTTTATGTGCTATATATAGACACCAATTTGCTGAATCACCCTGCAAACAGTTTAATTATTTATAAATGATGTTTCTAGACCAGAAAAACTTTGTTTTTCTGTGTGCAGCCATGCAAGACATCCTGGACAACCAAGAGATGGTTAAGAAGAACAGGAGGAATGAAAAAGCTGCTGCTCAAGGCTTGCAGCCATCAGGAAACACAAGAAGTTAAAAAGTAAGTTAATAAAACTTGGGCCACACTCACAGCAGCTGGGAGAGGGCTGGTGGCACCTACACAGCATTGTTAGTAATAGTTGGATTTTGGGATTTAGCATGAAGCTTTGGATGTAAAGAGAGACTGTTCTTGTTGCTACAAATGCAGTTTTCCCTTAAGAAGGAAGCTGTAAGCAGTGAAACTTAAAAACCCTTTAAAAAGATAGTATTTGGTCTGGTTTAGACTTGGTGTGGTACAAACTTGGTCATATTTCTTCAATAATGGGGAATTTATCTAATCACAACAGTGTGGTTTAGTTTAGACCATGAATAGCATTGCACAAGTCAGTTTTACTTGACAAACAGGCACTCTGCACACAGTCCTATCCTAGAGGGCTGCCATTAACACAAGCTGTGTAGTTGATCTGTGAGACGAGCAGGTTTGCTCAAATAGCTAAAGAATGTATGACTGGTATTAATTAGTGTAACTCAGTAGACTGATAACCAGATCCATCCTGGACCAAAGCTGGCCTTGCAATAAGAACTTGGTAATATTTAAGCAATCTCTATTCAAAGACACTGCAAAACTCATGGAGTTACTGGCTAACCACTGTCTGCCCCATGGCATACAGAAGCTTCAATCAGTTCTTTAATCAGTTCCTAACCTTCAGGAATAAAGAGGAAATACTTGTAATTACTACTGAAGATTTTTATCTGGCTTTACATCTCAAAAAGTTTAAATTCATTCTCTAGGCCTAACAGGGCACATTATCTGTACTATAGCCCTTGAGATTTTTTTTTTCTTGGAGTTGATACCAGCTAGGACTTCATCAATTCTGCAAGAATGATCAGAAAAAGTGTGTTTACCCAAGTGCATTTCTCTGTAAGATGGACCCAGAAGACAAATCATATTAGGTGGTGGTTTTGTACTCAGTCGTTCATTTTGGGCATCCTGGAGTTCTCTGAGCAGCTTTGTTGTTTCATCAAGTTTCCTCTGGAAGATTTCAGCCTCTGTTTAAACAGAAAAAGAAACTCCTGACTAGTAAGATCTAAGTAAACTCTATTTACTTACTTTATGATATAAAATATAGTAAGAGACTGAGAAACTAAAGGAGTTACAGACATATATCAGAACTATGACTACCAAAAAGACTCACCCTCAGAATCAAACTCCTCCATAGGCATGCCAAAGTTTGTAACTGCTTTTAGAGCTGTAAGTCTGTCGCTATTGGCAGCGTCCAGCCTGGCAGCAATATCAATTTCCATAATCTGGGAAAAAAATCAGCAAGTAATAATTTCGATAATACTTAACTCAGTCTTGAAACAACAAAATTGTCTGGGGAAGACCAGAACACAAAGGTAAGGTTAGTCTGCTCTACAAAAATAAGTGAACATACAGAGGGAAAGCTGAGAAGACACCCTGTAAAACTTGCTGTTCTACAGTTACTGTTTAATATTCTATTTCATACACAAATAGAAAATGGCATCTGCCAAAACCACTGGGGATATGCACAAATGATGTAGTAACTTCAGACCAGCATGCCAATTAAAAAAACAATTTAAAAATTCCTCCAGCTCACCTAAAGGAGATCTTATCGATGATCTGAGGCCAAAATTCAAAAGGAATCTGGGCTCTGGCTGCAGATGAAGACATGCTTCACAAGAGCCCTGGCCCAAGAAGTGCTTAATCTAATTGAGCAAAGTTTGGGTGGAATGATTTGAGATCTATAATGTATTGCCTACAGGGGCACAAAGTGAGAACTTCTCAGACTGCTCCATATCGTGTGGTAGCTTACATCTACATTAGAAATCCATGTTAAACAGAACTAGATTAAGATAGAAACAAAGCTATAGCTCCAAACAATCACAAACAGAAATACAAAAGCATTTGCTTCCCGTTCTCTTAACACTCAGTTAAAACTTCATATTTTAGAGAACCTTATTCTCCTTATGCCTACAAAGGGACACACCATTTTCACAAGATTTACAGCTTGTCAAAGTCTCAGTGTTGCTGTACAGGCCTGAAAGTTTTAGGCCATTTTCTAT